CGAATCATCTCCGTACATTCTAATTTATACCCTCAGTAAACAGAAAGGAGACATTAAGAGAGGTCAAAAAGCAGACGAGAAGGAGGGGGGCCTATGTCTTGCATATTTCCTCTTAACACCTCAAAAGCGTATCTTCTGCTGTCGTCTCATATGGAACCTTTTGCGTCACAGCAGGTGTTTCCTGTTGCACATCTTACAGAGAAATATGCTGAGGACATGTTAAAACATTTTTTACCATTACATTCCACTCTTTTGATTACATTATAATCACTTCGATATTGCAAAAATATGTTTTTGTGAGACAAAGTCTCTGGTTGTTTTAATCAAGCAATACAGTTCAATAACCACAAAAATAAAAACAAAAGGATAAAAATCAAAAACTGTCTTCACACCCGAGTATCGAAATCATCCAAGGAGTCAGTGTCGCTGTCGAAGTTGTCTGTGTAGTCAGGTCTAGGAAATAGGTCAGGTTGTTGGTCGTTAGCTGTCACACGAGTATACATTGTCATCTGTTTGGCAAAGAGTCGAGAGATCATGTCACGGAGCAGTGGGATTACACAAAGTACAAATACAAAGAAAGCACATAGGATAATGGCCGCTTGTATTAAAGTTCCCTTCCATGAGTACCATAAGCCTGTAAGCCAGTCTGGAGGTGGAGTGCCATCTTTAGTCATTGCTTCTTGTATTTTAGTGATGTTGCGAATCGCTTGTGCAATGATATGACCATCAGCGTCGTTTTCTGGAATAAAAGTACAACAATATTCCCCAACAATAGCACAAACGCCACCCTGTGGTGCAGTCAATTGATCTAAAACCATTCTATTTTGCATAACCATGAGACGCAGGGCAGTCAATTCTTCAGTGGTTCCCGTGAATGCCGCAAGAGTGTAGTTCAGGAAACTCTTTAGTCGGTAATCAACAGTTTCTAACCGTAATGTGTTCTTTGCCACGCCTACCCAAGGGAGTAGTGTAATGCCCACCTTGGAGCCCTCGCTCCAGTGTTTGAACTCATCTGGGATGTCTGAACCCCAAACTGAGTCATGTTTTTTGAATTCCAAGTCGTGAGGAAAACGTGTTTTAGGCGCAGCTGATATTATTACTGTGTGGCCGGATATTGATACTGGAGCGCAAACTCCATCCCAATCTGGAGGTAGTGCAGCGTACACTGTGTGACCGCAGAGCCACCAACCACCTGTTACCGGATATGTGCCCTTTTTACCAGGAACCACTGTGTTGTGGGCTAGAGAGCATTTAACTCCTGCTGGGCAGTCCGCTGTATCTCGTGCCACATGCTTCCACCCACTGCATGAAAAACGTTGTAGGTAAAATGGAACTCGTGTGCAGTCCTCACGTCTCGCTAGTTGCATGCACCTCCTTATAGATGCAGTTGTTATTTTACCTGAGCTATTTGCACACGAAAGACAGTAGAACACAGTGTAACTGTCATTCATGGTGACGGCTGAATGATTGGATGTGTCGCTGAATCTGGAGCAGTCTTCGTCCTGAACAAAAGTTGCCACTATGAAAGTTACGTTACACATAGAGGGATTAAGTTGACCTACTGATTTTGAGCCATTACGCGCAAAACAAAATGAAAAGTTCAAGTGTGGTGCATACTGTACGTGTGATGCTTGAAATTGGGACGAAGTAGCGCTGCTTCCGCGGTATCTCTGTGTAGGGTGTGTTTTTGCGCACATAGTACTATTTACTGAAGCCCATTCTGCACAACTACTGTAATACCCTAAAACTGCTTTACTGACGAAACAGCCCTCTGTAGGACCTAGAGAACTAGTCGCTAATATACGAGGTTGGTGAGATGTGGCCGGCATCATTGAGCAGACATAGCAATTAGTGCGGTTTTGTTCGCAGGCTGAATGCCGTGCGTATCGCCACCACATGTTGGATGAATAACTATGGATTAATGCACCTGGGCTGTTGTTGAGCCAACCATGTTTTAAGTTTTTTACTGCGGTGCGTCTGGTACGGTTATGCAATGTTGAGTTGTCATTGTTGGAGTCAGTGGTTTTGTTATTATGTCAGTTGCGGAGGTCTTCAACATATTTATGGTGATGTAAGAGGATAGGCAATAGTACACATAAACCAATGATTACAAAAATACAATATGTGAAACGAGTGCCACCTACCCTCCTAAGAGGGCTCCATGGGCGCTGTCGCTCCATGGCAAGTGTGCAACAGCCAACCAAGTTTGTATGGAGTTCACCCGAGCAACTGGTTTGTGTGAGCAGTTCTGTTTGTGTTGACACCGTGAGGTTTCCACAAAACTGTCAGAGACACTGTTATCTAGCCACTCTTTTGGTTAGAGCAGTTAAGTAGTACATGAATAAATTGAAAAAGAAACAAGCAATAGCACTACTATGATGACGGCAGTGCAACCGATTCTTGTGTCATTATGGAGAGGACCTGGACGTGTTCCTTTTCTCGTGTTCGTTGGTAGAAACACGTTTAGATTTTGGCACGGACTCTGCCAGCCGTCTTTCCTGCGTGGCATGAGCGTCGGGAAGTAGACAGTTAACACAGATCACGCAAGCGTCTGTCGGTCAACTGCCCGTTGTGATTCCGTCCGTGATCACTGCATCTCCTCTGTTGGTGGCTCCGTCTGTCCTTCCTCCCTCGGTGGTGCCTGTTGGCTGACACTTGTTGTAGGTGCGAGCTCACCTGTAGCTTCGGTCGGTGTGTCTCCTGGAGCTGGAACCTTCTTGCAGTGGGACGTGTGGACCCAAGTTGCCCTCTCAGCCACTTTCACCGCCGTGTGAGTAACGAGGAGGATCTGGAATGGTCCCTGCCAGCGTCGCGCTCTCCAGCTCTTCCTTCTGAAGTCTTTCACCACCACGAAATCACCAGGCTTCAGCTTGTGAAGAGGTCCTTCAGCTGGCCTTGGGAGGGCGGCAGACACCTGTTGTCTTATGTTAGATAAAGCAGAGGAATGTTGTGCACAATATGTTAACATTTCATGTTCGCATAAGGCAGTTGAAGGGAGTGGCGCCGTCGGAGCTTCTGTGCCTACATGAGGAGGAAAACCAAACAGTATCTCAAAAGGACTCAGATTGCTTCGGGTTCATTTTCTCATTCTCATGTACATCAGCACTAGAGGCAGAGCTTTTGTCCAAGGCAGACCTGTGTCAGCACAGCATTTTTCTAACTTAGTCTTAAGTGTTCCATTTTCTCGTTCAACAGAGCCACCACTGGCTGGATGATAAGCACAGTGTGTTCTTAAGTCGATACCCATGTATGCACTTAGTTCTGTAATGGCCTGGTTTACAAAATGAGAACCATTGTCACTTGATATTTTAGTGGGAATACCCCACCGGGGAATGATTTCAGAAATCAAAGCTTTTGCTACTGTTGCAGCAGTTTGCTTACTGGATGGAAATACTTCAACCCACTTTGACCACATGTCTACCATCACAAGACAGTGTTTCTTACCTTCAGATGGAGATAGCTCAACAAAATCCATCATAATGTGCTCAAAAGGGCGTGTTGGAGGCGGATGTGCAGCCTGGCTGGACACCGCCACGGGCCTGCCTACATTGTGAGTAGAGCAGGTTACACATGCAGAACAAAATTTTTGTGCGTATGCTGTAAACCCTTTGGTGAACCATGTTTCATTTAATGCGCTCAACATTCCCCCTTTTGACACGTGGTCTAACCCATGTGTCAACTTAGCATAATGGCTGAAATAATGCTTAGGCAGACATGGTTTAGCATCAGGCCCTAACCAAAGTCCGTCTGTAAGTTGACCACAGCCGACGCTCTTCCGGAGTAGAGAGTGACTGCATCGCTGTAAGAGAAGAAGGAATGGAGACGCATGAAAACATGAGAGCAGCGGAAGTGGGGAGAGGAAACTGCAGCAGCTTTAGCAGCAGTGTCTGCGCGAGCATTTCCTCTAAAGATGACGTCAGTGTGATTAGTGTGAGCTGCACACTTACATACTGCGATGGCTGTTGGCAGGAGAATTGCCTCTAACAGTTCAGCAATGAGAGTGTGATGCAGGACAGGTTTACCGTCAGATTTAAGGAACTTCCTATGTTTCCACAGAGTTCCAAAGTCGTGGACGACGCCGAATGCATAACGAGAGTCAGTGTGAACTGTGACTGTATTACCTTCAGCAAGTTTGCATGCTTCAGTGAGCGCGATGAGTTCAGCTGCCTGGGCAGAGAGGTGACATGGCAGAGAACCTGAACATAGCACTTCTGAGTCCGAAACAACAGCAAAACCCACAAGATTAGTATCAGTATGATCGCGAGAGGCAGATCCATCCACATACATTACCATGTCGCTGTTGGGCAGCGGAGTGTCCATCAGATCAGGACGAGGAGTGCACTGAGCTTGGAGCTCAGCTAAACAGTTATGCTCCTCTCCATCACCAGGAATGGGAAGTAATGATGCAGGGTTAAGATTAGGACAGCGTTTGACAGTTACGTTCGGCATGTCTAGGAGACGTGTGATAACGCAAATATCGCGCTGCAGAGAGGTGAGATGATTTCTGTTCGAGGAGAATCAAAGACACCGAATGAGGAATGAGCAGAATTAGTGGCGCGTACCCCACTATGTCACGTGAGGCAGCGAGTGCCTTCTCAGCCGCGGCCACTGCACGCAAACATTGTGGCAAGCCTGCTGCTACAGGATCGAGTTTTGCGGAGAAATACGCAACTGGTCGTAGTTTATCACCATGTGATTGTAGCAACACTGAGGTCATGCAGCCCTGTCTTTCATCTACAGTCTGAGTGAACGGTTTGTTCGGATCTGGCAACCCTAGAGTTGGTGGTGTTAGTTGGTGGTGTTTGTAAAGCACATTTCATTTGTGTGAAGGCTAAATGACCCTCTTTAGTCCAAATTATTTTGTCATGTGCGGTGAGATTTTTTACCGTGAATCAAACTTGATAATGGCTGCTCCATTTGTGAGTAGTTGGGTATGAACGACCGACAGTATGAACACATACCTAAAAACGACATCATCTGTTTTTTAGTGTTAGGTTTTGGTATCGACACAATTGAAGCGATTATTTTAGGAGAGAGGGTTTTCCGGAAATGTCATGACCTAAAAAATGTACATTTTGCGTTACAAACTGTAATTTAGATAGGCTGGCCTTGTGGCTTACTTGTGCTAGGTGTTGTAGCAATTTAATTGTGTCTTTCTGACACTGTGCTTGAGTAGGAGCTGCGATAAGGCAATCGTCAACATACTGCAGAAGTGCAGAGCCTGGTGAGAGAGTTAGACTTTCTAAGCTTTCTCTGAGTGCATCATTGTAGATGGTTCGTGATTCGGTGTAGCCTTGACACAGTCGAGTGAAGGTGTATGGCTTACCGTTGAAGTTGAATGCGAACCAAAATTGGCTGTCTTTGTCGACTGGGACGCTGAAAAAAGCATTTGACAGGTCAACCACAGAGAACCATTTACCTTCAGGAGGAATCTGAGCTAGAATAGTGTAAGGATTAGGCACATTTGGTGCACGTGCATGAACTGCAGCATTTACTGCTTTCAGGTCTTGCACGAAACGCCATTCAGTAGGTTTGCCTGCATCTCTGATCTTTTTAACAGGAAATATCAGTGTCCTGACTGGAGAGTCTGGACAGGGAATAATCACACCTGCTTTCAGGAGTGAGTCAAACACTGGTGTAATACCGTCAATGGCCTCTTGTCGCAGCGGGTACTGATGTTTGTGTGGCCGGAAATCAGAACGAGGAGTAATGACGACTGGTTGACAGTTGTTGATTAAGCCCACGTCATATTTGAGCGCCGCCCAAAGTGTCTGTGGAACAGAGGTGAGGGCGGGAGAAATTGATGTAGGATTAGTCAAAAATGTTTTGATTTCTTTGTTAAGCTCATGAAACACATAGACTGATCTGCAGGCTGGTGTTAAGAGCACACAAAAGGTTCTGTGGAAGCCGGTAGATTGTGATCGCAGAATGAGTGGATCACATGTTCTTTCCCAGTTGGTAAGCGCCTCACATTGTGCAACGAACGGACCCAAATCTCTCTACTGGTCATCGCGCCCTTTTGACAGCGAGACATGTGGAAACGAATCTGGAACATCAAACAGTTCTTTCTGTGTTGGAGACAAGGAAACAGACACAGCAGATTTGTGAGTTGACCAAAACAGAGTAGAACAGGCAATAACATCATTAATGCCTTCAAAGAAACTGTCTTCATAGCAGACATCTTGACCTCTAGAAATGTGTGAGGTGCAGTGTAGATGTTTGTAGTTCATGTGGTCAGCATGTGGTGAGATGTGGTGCGTCTACTGTGTGACAAAGTCGTTGTGCGTCATCAACAGGAAGCCACCACTGATAGGTGAAAAGTGGCTCAGAGGGAGTCTGTATCATTTGATGTACGACTCTACGCCTGAGCACCTTCAAGCCATCAGAGGATGATGTTAAACATATGCCATAAGCGCACATGAGGTCTCTGCCCATCAGATTGATGGGACAGAAGGAAGAAAGCAGAAACAAATGTTTCACTTTAATGTCAGATTCTAGGTCAGTCTGGTCAGTGTGTACACTCGTCATAGGAACAGTAAATTTTTCTGTTACAGTTAAACCTGAAGCCCCTTGAGAATACATGAAACGCCCACTCATTTTCTGATTTGGAAAATGTTTCTGTTGAATGACAGAGTGAGTAGCCCCCGAATCTACCAAAAAGTTTAACACTTTCCCTTCTACAATTACTTTAGTAGTCGGCATGTTTTTGTATGAATCAGATAAAAACATCGCATATGTGTGTGTCTGTGGTGCAGCTGTGTTAAGTTGTTGTTGCTCTAAGTGAGAAATAATACTGAGCAAGGCAGCCTGTTGTTCTGCAGTGTGCGTGTGAGGAAGCTTTTCCTTCGTTGCAGCAAATGTTTGAGTGTGTCTGTGTGAGATGTGTGTGTGTGTCACTTCCCTGTTGCAGAGTCATGGGGCAGGAAGCCATCCTCCTCACAGGTGTGCGGTCTCCCTCCCCCACATCGTGTCAGTCAGAAGTGCCAAATTGTTGATGAGAGTCACGCCCTCTGTCTCCTCCGTGCTGTCGTCCGCGTGGCTGACGTGCCTCGCCCTGGTCAGAACGATGAGGGCAATCTCTGAACCAATGTCCTTTCTCACCACAGCGGAAGCATTCGTTGGGTTGAGTCTCACGTGAGGCTCCTCCTTGTCGGCCATCTTGGAAATGTCCTCGACCCGCACCACGGTGCATTCCTCTTCCGCGCCCCCTCTGCTGGCCCCTCCCATAGTTGTTGCGTGGTTGATAGGGGGGTTTGGCCTCCCTCAGCTCCCAGCGTCCCAGCAATTTGAGCTTTTTCTCCAGTCTGTTTACTGCGTTTCTCTTGCCGTGCCTGAGTGTCATTGTGCATTTTGCAATTGTGTCTGGCATGCTTTACCACTTCACAGGCTCGTCAGCGCTGGTGTTCATGGAGGTGTCAGGGCTGAGGAAATTAGCAAATCTGCACGCTGTTCCGCTCCATGAGAATGGGTCAAGCCATGATGAATTCTGGGGTTGGGGCGTGGTCTGAGGGTGGGTCGCGAATGGGTTGGATGATGAGGCTGGTGAGGCTGGAGATGTTCTGTAGTCAGCATTGCTCTGTTGAGCTGTCTTTCGCTGCTCTGCGTGGAGGCGGGTGTCTGGTCTGCCCGCAGTTGGCCCAGAATACGGCGGAGGAGGAAGTGCGTGGTCTCTGGGGTCGGGTTGCTGGACGACTCGCTGTGGGGAAGCTTGATAACACGTGTTGAGAAGCGGGCCGCCTGCTCCTGTAAGACTCGGGTACATAGGAGAATGAAACAAGAATGGATTATTCTGTGTGTCTGGAATCAGTTTTTCTTCCTTTAAACATGTCATGTGTTTCATCATCTGCTTCCTCTCTCTACAATCACATTCCGTCTCCCATTGAGCCAGACAGTTCTGGTTTTTCTCTATAATTTCCAAGTCTTTGACTTTAACCTTTTTACCTTTTTTCATTTCTTTTAATTTTCCTTCTAAATCCCCTCGTAACATTTTAAGTTTAGCGGCACTTAATGAGCCGTTCTCTGGAAAACCAAACTCTTTTGACCAGTATGGGAGTAATTCCGTACATGCATCTCCATATTTCTGTCGCATCATTTCAACAATCGGACCCGTGGGTTCCGTGTGTTTAGTCTGCTTTCCACCCATCTTTCAGGCGTGGAATCGTTAACGTTTATCTTGATAAAATACAGCCGTCGCCGTAAGTCGTAGTTTCTCTAGTAAAACTTTGCAAAAACCTTATTTGAAATTCACGTTAAGTTACTACCAACGGTCTTATTCCAAGTAGTTTGGAATTCACGTATGTAGGTTAATAACAACGGTCTTATTTCAAACAGAGTTTGTTTGAAATTCACGTTAAGTTAATAACAACGGTCTTATTTCAAACCTATTTGTGTCGTCAAGGATCTGTGTTACGATCTCAAAATGTTTTTATTCTGAGTTAAATCTTCACCGTATAACACAATCCTGTCTTCTACATAAACACGTAAAATGATGCTCCAGAAATTCTAAATGGATTTTACATAAAGAATTCAAAAACAAATATACAACTGTTAAAAACAATTGTATTCCCCAAATAATGATGACTACTTGATCATTCATCTGTGTCCGTTATATCTTATTTTTACGATATAATATTACAATTGGAATTTCAACTTCTCACCGAGTTGTAGAAATTAATTCTTTATCGTTGGATACGCGTGACGTCAATCAGGACTCCCTGGTTTCGCCGGCTCTCTCTCTCTCGTCTAAGGAGGTATGAGGCAAGATCGTCAGTTGTGGATCCTGGAAAAGGCCTTTTCTCCGGACGGTCCCCCGGAGCCTGACGGACAGTCAGCGTATCCCACTTCTGACACCAAGTTGTTGTGGAATATTTCTATGACTATTCGGGAGAAGGAAGTGAAGGTTTTCAATCAATATCAAATAAACAGAGTCTGATGAATGATCAAAGTTGTAAAGTCAATTTATTGCGTTGCAAGCAAGGAGAACAGATTCACAGACACGTATTGCAGAGTCTGATGAGAATGCCCCCCGAATCATCTCCGTACATTCTAATTTATACCCTCAGTAAACAGAAAGAAGACATTAAGAGAGGTCAAAAAGCAGACGAGAAGGAGGGGGGCCTATGTCTTGCATATTTCCTCTTAACACCTCAAAAGCGTATCTTCTGCTGTCGTCTCATATGGAACCTTTTGCGTCACAGCAGGTGTTTCCTGTTGCACATCTTACAGAGAAATATGCTGAGGACATGTTAAAACATTTTTTACCGTTACACCTTAACTTGCAGCCCTCCTGGAAAACCTTGAGTTGAACCAAACTCAAGTGAGATATCAGTCAGCTGGGAGAAACCTGCTGAACTTGGACAAGAGTCCACACTTTGAGCTACATCGTGGAGTACGCCGAAACAGACAACGGGGGGAAAGAGGAGGCTCTCCAATGGAACCAAATAATGTCAACGGCTGAAAAGGCGATCATTTCAGGACTTCAGTCAGAGACAGAATATGCTGTCAGGGTCAGATGTGATTGTGGTGTAGCCGACAGAAGCAAAGAAAGCATCACTGTTAAAGTCTGCACAACAAAATATACACGACTCACAGAAGTCCTCAAAAGAACAAGCGAAAAGATGAATTCTGAATCTCCCTCAGTTTACAAACTGACTCTGACAGGAGAAGATGTGGATATTGATGGATGCAAAAGATTCAGTTTTGGCGAAGACAGCGTGAGGCAAAATCGCACCATTGTGCTCGTCGGAGCGACCGGATCAGGAAAGTCTACTCTGATCGATGGAATGATCAACTACATTGTTGGTGTGGAGTGGAAGGACTCTTTCAGATATAAGTTAGTTGATGAGGATCAGTCTAGATCACAAGCTGATCCTGATCCTGATTCTGATTCTGATTCTGATCCTGATTCTGATTCTGATCCTGATTCTGAAGTCACTGTGTACAAAATCAACCACCAGGAGAGATTTAAAATAGATCACTCTCTGACCATTGTTGACACTCCAGGTTTTGGAGAAACAGAAGACATAGAAAGAGACGAGGAGATCATTGAACATCTACGTAATCTCTTCTCTGCTGAGCATGGTGTCAGTGACATTGACGCTGTGTGTTTCGTAGCTCAGGCTTCTTTAGCACGACTCACGCCATCACAGAAATATGTGTTTGATTCTGTGCTCTCAATCTTTGGCAAAGATGTCGCAGAAAACATCAGAATTCTGGTGACATTCGCAGACGGCCAGCAACCACCAGTTCTAGAGGCGATCAATGCTTCAGATGTCCCGTGTCCTAAAACAAAGAAAGGGCTGCCGATTCACTTCAAATTCAACAATTCAGCGTTGTTTGCAGACAACAAATCACCTGCAGCAGACGTGAGTGTTGATGATGAGGATGAAGATGGAAGCTTTGATCAGATGTTTTGGGACAATGGGGACAAAAAGCATGAAGAGGTTCTTTGTTGCTTTGAATGTCATAGAAACCAAAAGCTTGAAAATGACGAAGGAGGTCCTCAGAGAGAGAAAGCAGCTCGAGAATACAATTGAAAGTTTGCAGAAGCAGGTTAAACTTGGGTTAGATAAGGGTGAGGAGATAAAAGAGACGGCTGAAAAACTTAAAGAGCATGAGGCAGAGATCAGCAGAAATTAGAACTTTGAGTTTGACGTGATTGTCAAAAAGCCTGTTCAAGTAGACATTTCTGGAACTGGAATGTTTGTAAACAATTGTCAGCAGTGTCATTTCACCCGCCATGATAATTGTGCCTGTGCAAATCATGATGAAGATAAAAAAGATTGTATTGCAATGGGACCAGATGGTTTCTGTACTCAGTGCCCAGGTAAATGCTACTGGAATGTACATTTTAATCAGAAGTACAGATGGGAGTATAAGGAAATTAATGAAAAACGAACAGTGAAAGACCTGCAAGAAAAGTACCTGAAAGCCTCAAAGGCTAAGACACCTGTTCAGGCATTAATTGAACAACTGAATGCTGAATATAAGCGTGTCCAGGATGATGTGGTGCAATTGATGCAGAGGTCTGCTGAGTGTCTAAACAGACTTAAAGAGATAGCACTGAAGGCAAATCCTCTCTCCACTCCAGAGTACATTGACATGCTCATTGAGGGAGAGAAAGCTGAGGCCAAGCCAGACTGGAAGATACGAGTTCAGTCTCTGATAGACATGAGAAGAAAGGCAGAGTTCTTGTCTAAAGTAGGCAAAGGAGAGAAACTCCTCCATCGTCAAGAATCTCAAGACCAGATGCAACCGAGACCATGACGAGATCTAAACTAATTCCATCAAGACCCAGACGAGACCCACTCTGTATATAGAAATTAGGAATGCACCGATCCGCCTTTTTCAGGCCCACTACCGATAAACTTATTAATACTTATTCTTGGGTAGATGTCGACTTCTGATCTGAAACCAGTTTTTAATTAATAAGATGTATGCCTCACTATGTGGAAGTGACGAGGATCATTCTGTAATGTGTAAGAAACCATCAGGTCTGACTTAAACATTGCTTTATTAACTTTGTAAATCTAAATGTAACAGATAAATACATAGATATAAATGTACTGGAGTTCTTTAAATCAACATAACGGTCACCGATACCAACCAGGCCCATTGTCTTCAATACCAGATCCAGCTGTTTGAGTCAGTATCAGACCGATATCAGTGAGAGACAAACAAGAAAAGTTCAATGAACTTCACAGGTTTACATTCTGATGTTGAAACCTTCAAATAATAACTGAGAGCATAACTAGATCTAATCAGACGCCACCAAGACAGAGAGGAGCTCCATTCAGACACAGTTAACCAACAGAGAACCAAACAGGACGGAGACTTTAATGACTTTGATGAAGGAAAGCTAGAAGATGAACTTCAGAGATAAAGACTGAAACTTCTTCCAGTTATTGTTGTTAAAACCAAAAAGGAAAAGACAGATGTACATGTGTGGTGATGAATGATTTAGTGAGAACACATTTTGTGCTGCAGCCGTTATCTTCCTGACTCCATTACCACCAATATAAACGTTTAAAACCTGCAGCTTTATTAACTTAAACAACCTGAACACTGAACATGTCATTTTATTTTGTATTATATCATTTAAATATTGTTGTTTTAACACTGCTTTACATTGTTCAATACAGTTTCTTTAATCATGAATATCAGCTTCTTCAGTGTTTCATTTGTTTTAACGTTAAATGCTTTATTATATTGATGTGTATTGAATTACATGTTATTGTCCTGTAATAATAAGGAGGCTCTTACTGAACGATGGAGGAATTAGAAAACAATACAAAATATTACTGTAAAATATATTTTCATCAGAAGAACAATTTTGAGTAAAAAGAAGTTAAAGAAGAAGGAAGAATGACAGAGTTGAGAGAAAGAAGCTGAACGCCTCAGAGACTAAAGACACATGTACACAAGCTTGTAAAGATCAACTCACAACTATTACATCTTGATTTATTTTTGTATTGTTCACATAAAGGTTTAGGTATTAAGTTTTATCTAATATTTAGTTTAATTAATTGTAGATTTGAAAACATGAATCTTTTATTTTCTCCTCATACTGATGTGTATTGACTCATATTCTGTCGTCCTGTGATGTGATGACTTCTACTGAAAGAAATGATGAAATAATGAACAATAAATAAATGTTATTAAGACTCAAGAGTTGTCTGTTGTCCTCTGATGTGTCCGTGTGGCCTTCTTTACCTTCTGCAGCTACGTTTCCTCTTCCAGGTCACTTGATGCCATGGTGATAACCGAGTGAAGTCAATGCTTCATGTGTTAAAGCTGCATTCTCTCTAGTGTCCAGCAGGGGGCGACTCCTCTGGTTGTATAGAAGTCTATGAGAAAATGACTCTACTTCTCTCTTGATTTATTACCTCAGTAAACATTGTAAACATGAGTTTATGGTCTCAATCTCTAGTTTCAAGTCTTCTTCAATACAGCATGATGTTCATTTAGTACATTATGGTCCATTTAGAGTCAAACAGACCATAAAGCAGGGGATGCTTTAGGGCGGGGCTACACGGTGATTGACAGGTCTCTATCACGACGTTGTCCGATCTGGGAGTTGTCTGTGTTTTGGTTTTACAACTTTAACCCTTTCACTGTGTTTTTCCTTCATGGAACTTAATTGTAACATTGTGTTTGCTTTAACATGTCTGATTCAGCTCTCGGTTGTATTTAGCTCCTCCCTCTCCTCACTTCTGGCTGCAAAACAGAACATGTTGGTGGCGGACAAGAACCTCGTTAGAGATGAATAACTAACATTAGATTGTTGCTATTCATCTCATGTTGTGCAATGAAGGTTTATTGATGCTGGTTGGCTGATCTCGTCCAAAGTCCAGGTGAGACGCAGCTCATCTCAAAGGAGCCTGATGTCTCAACTCCTCTCTCCTCACGTCTCATCCACAGAACCAGGAGACGAGGAAGAGACGAGCTGCTCTCCAGGGTCTGGTTGGGCTGGTTGGCTGACGCGAGTGTGAGTTTGTTTGAGTATGAAGATGGTATTTACCTCAGAGATCTGTTAGAAAGGTCGAGTAAATACAGACTAATAATAGAAGATAAACTCAACTTAGAGAGGATCTCTTATTAAACTGTGTGTACACATACACACACATTTACGGTATGTATGTCGATGTAAAGATCATTAAACAGGACATTTATTCTCACAAGAAGGAGACAGAGTTGATTGACGTACAGAATGTACATGAAGGCTGCTCAGAGTTCTGTCTCTGAGTCTCTGTCATGTATACTGCTAAACACAAGCAGCATCACAGGATAACTTAAGGTCTTCATCACATAGGACAATGCACACACATTGTGTTCACACAGCGTAATTACCACAAAGCCTGGAACATCACTTCAACAATTTGTTCTGGTCCAACGGTCACTTTACTGAAATCAGGAAGTCGTGGTTATTGACATCTTCTAGTTTATTATCTATTATTCAGACTCAACAGATGAGGTGTTTAGTGTCACAGAAAGTTCACACATTCAGCAGAGGACACAGGCCATGAGAGTTCATGTGAGGACATGAGGCGCTGTAAGTGCAACATTCCCACCTCTTTATACTATCGTAGAACTTCTAATAAAAATACATGAATAGTTAAATACATGTCCAATCAAACTAGTAATAAATGAAAACATAAAAACAAAACATCAGAAAACCAATACCATTGAATGTAATGAAGAACACGTGTTTTACTGTTATATATGGATCATACTAAGAGTAACATATTGAACAAACATTCTGTGTCCTGTCTTTATCATACAGGTAATACTGCGATCATCATTCCGTCTCATCTCTCAATTTTTGACATACGAATCATCATTACTTTACAGTTCAGTGTCAGCATTTCCTTGAAACAGGGCTATGACGCCGTCGTCATAGTCGGACAGAGAACCCAGAGTGTCCCAGTGAGTAGTCAGTCCCCAGCTCCTCACCATCCTGCTGGAAATCTGTAAGTACACTGGAGTCTGTTTAGTCATGTCAACATCACTTCATCGCTGCAGTAGTCTCCTCCAACATGGTCCAGAGTACAATCCAGATGAACCAAACATTGGTAGGCCCCTCCCCTCCCCGCCAGCAGCACTTCTTGACCCCTCTACGTATTGTTGCCTACCAAAATAGCACTGCTTGTACCTGCTCCAAAATCACACAAAAAATACTACCTCACACCCTTCAATAACTCTGACCCCACCATTCTATTTGATATAGTTCTAATATTTCTATTATTCTGTGCCGTCAGTCTGTGTCTGTGCATCAGTGTGTTGCGTGTTTTTACATGATTCATCTGTTGAATGTGGTGTCCTGACGTCCCCCTCCTCCGATGTCCTCCTCCTGTCCACTCTCTCTGCTCCTGCACTCTCGTGTCCAGTGTCCCTCCGTTCCACTGATGAAGCAAACTCTGCTCCTTCCTCCGAACCCTCCTCCTCCTCTGTGCTCCCCTCGTGCTCCGCTCCGTCCGCGGAAGACTCCGCCTCTTTGATTGTCTCTGAAATACACATTAGAACAAACATGTTCAGACACTTCATCATCATCATCATCATCATCACCATCATCATTATCATCATCATCATCATCACCATCATCATTATCATCATAGTCAACAACAGACGTGTCAGCATTCTGTTTGCCTTTTTTCTTTTGGTTATTCAGCACTGTTGCTGAAGTAGAAACTGATTCGTCTGAGTTTTGAGTACAGTCCTTGACTTTTGCTAAAGTTAGGTTTTCGGTAGCATTTGGATCGTACGACATCTGTAAAGGTGGCTTACCGCATGTTATGCCCGTAGAGCGGTCTGTCAAAAGTCTCGCTCATGACTTTCCTCAGTGCCGTCCTGAGCTCAGTTGTTGTCTCTGTGTTTTGTCTGAGAGAGGACAGTGGGAGGCGGGAGAGAGAGGACAGTGGGAGGCGGGAGAGAGAGGACAGTGGGAGGCGGGAGAGAGAGGACAGTGGGAGGCGGGAGAGAGAGGAGAGGAGCCTTCGGAGGATCGGGAGCCCGTGAAGTCTGAGCAAGCTCCGCTGCCTGTGGAAGATCTGGGGGTGAAGCAGAGGGCGGGGGAAGGTTCGGAGGAGGCCGTCTGGCGGATACCACTTCATCGTCTGGATTCCCACAAAAATGTAGACTTGGAAACATTTTAGAAGAATTAGTCACGTTAACACTTTCCTCATTCTTCATCTTCCTGTATTTAATCTCTCCCTTTAAACTATCATCTTTACTCTCTCTGCTAGTGTTAGCGGACATTATTTATTTAGTACAGTTAGTTACTATTTTAATTTTATAGTGAAAAGAAGAAGAATCTCTCTCTTAGTTTAGCACTAAAATTAAAATCTTTCCTTAGTTTAATTAAAGTTTTATTTATTTTTAGGCTCCCTGAGCCAAGGTGCAAACTATTTTTTAACCTAATAGATTGTCAATTTTAGTGTTCCTCGAACCTAAGACCTCCGACTGATTAGATCTAGATTCCTCGATCTCAGGATACCTTTTTCTAGCTCCCAGAACTAAAGATTATTCTACCATCTATCTATTCATGCCAATTAGTGTGAAAAAGTATCTCTTTCTTTGTTATAATTAGTAAAAACAGAAAAGTATCTCTCTTTTAGTTTACTAAAGTGTTTAAGATCTCATTACCTGAAATGATTTCCACCGGCTCGGTTCACAAAAAGGATCTCGTCACTCTGTCTCCTCTCAGCAGAATCCTAGCCTCTCAATTTGCCAAACTATTCTCGTGTGAGGATAGGGCAGAGGGCTTTCTCCGAGAGACCTCAGCTCCCCTGTGCACAGTTTCAGGTTCAAAGCTGAAGAGAAGAGGAGGGATTGAAATCCTGTTCCCCGGAGCCCCGTCTCCGAGAGTCGGAGCTCAGTTCCTCTCTCGATCCCCAGTCTCTAGAGTGTAGTCTCCCTGATCCCCAGCCTCTAGAGTGTAGTCTCCCTGATCCCCAGCCTCTAGAGTGTAGTCCCCCTGATCCCCAGCCTCTAGAGTGCAGTCCCCCTGATCTCCAGTCTCTAGAGTGCAGTCCC